TCCCCTCCATTGTGGAAGTTGTTCTCTGCCACCGTTTCGGGAGCTGGCTCAGCTGCAAAGTGAACCTGAGCTCCTCCTCCAGCTCGTTTCCTCTCGCTAATGAGCTCCTGGCGGAATAATCGCCAATTTCTCTCCACAGGGAAAGCTCTCCTTTGCCAACGGCTTTGTCCTGGAGGGAACCTTCACCACCAGGGCCGGCCAGGGGCTGCAGACCCATGGCGTCCTCAACACTTGCAACGAGCAGCTGGAAGAGCAGGTCACCAAAATGTGAGCGCCTGGAACGGGGGCCGGGATCGGGTTGGGATTCTTCCAGAGGAGCTCTGATCGATCCCTCCCTGGATCAATCCCTCCCTGGATCAATCCCTACATGGTTCAGTCCCTCCATGGATCAATCCCTCCCTGGCTGGGAATTGATCCAAACATTGATTTATGGATTTATGGGCAACAAGAGAGGGAGGAAAGGAGCCCATGGGTTGAATTCCATGTGGGAAATAGGGAAAGATGTTTTAGTGCCATTCTGCCACTTCCAGCCGGATGTGGCTCAGTGTGGGGGTAGGATTGGAGCTCCCCAGACATTGGACTGGGAGGACATGGTGGGAATAACAGAGTTAAACCCTTCAGGCTACATCCCTGGGAATAATTCTGATGGATCYTGCAAGGGACGCTCTGACTGCAGGGCCTGGATTCATCGCTTTCATTCCAGTGGGAAGAGCAGCTGCCTGTCCTCACAAATTCCAGTTCCCCTCACAAACCCYRYYTCAATTCCCTCMTTTTTCCTCTCCCAGCCTCTCAGAGCATCCATGGGGCAGACAAASTTCCCTTTTCCTGAGCTATCAAGGCAGGAACAGTCCCTGGGGGTGGTTGCTCAGCTCCTTATCCAGCTTTTCTGCAGGATTTTGGATGGGATAACCGATCTGTATTTAGGAATATACATCAGTGGATGGAGCAGGAAGCCCTGGATCAATTMATCAGCAGAAATCCTAATTATTTATGCCCCATGCATCTGGAATTCTTCTCCCCAAAGGATTTCTGTGGTCAGGACAAGAGCCTTGAGGAGCTTTTGTTGAATTTCCATTGAGGTTTCATCCTGAAATGGTTTGGGATGGAAGGGRCATTTAAGGATCATCCCATTCCACCCCTGCCATGGGCACTGACACCTCCCACTGTCCCAGGCTGCTCCAAGCCCCAATGTCCAAYCTGGCCTTGGACAMTKCCAGGGATCCAGGGGCAGCCACAGCTTCTCCTCCCCACCCTCACAGCCAGGAATTCCTTCCCAATATCCAACCTAAATCTTCCTTTTTCCAGTGTGACTGCATTCCCTGTGTCCTGTCCCTCCATTCCTTGTCCCCAGTCCYTCTCCAGCTCTCCTAGAGCCCCTTTAGGCCCTGGAGTCTCCCTGGACCCTTCTCCAGGAGAACATTCCCAGSTCTYCCAGCCTGGCTCCAGAGCAGAGGGGTTCCAGCCCTGTGTTATCAAATCCTGGAATTCCCATATTGGAAGGGGAAATCTGCAATAATTTAGGAGGAACCTGGAAAATCCTAATCCCATGTTCCATTTTCCAGCCAGCTRGGCCTCAAGGAATTCCCAGTGGAGAAGAGATGGCAGGGAATCTTTGACCAGTTCCTGGAATTCCTCCATTCTGGCTGCAAAGAGGAAACGGAGGAATCTTTCATAGGATTCCACATCCAAACCAGCAAGGAGCTGAGGAAATCCCAGGAATACCTGTTCTGCCAAAGGTACTGCAGGSCCTCATTCCCACAGAGGAATCSAAGCATTYTCCAGTTGTTYCCTCTCAGGAACTCYTCAGGACGAGGAATTTCACCTCTCYATTGGAATTTGTGMTGTTGGAACTGATTCACATGAGGGAAAAATTYCTTTAATTTAATTTATCCCGATAYATYCCAATGTYCAGCYTGGCCTTGGACACTSCCAGGGATCCAGAGGCAGCCACAGCTTCTCTGGGAATTCCATCCCAGCCCMTCCTCACCCTCCCAGGCAGGAATTCCATCCCAATGTTTAAACCTCCTCTGTTTAACAGGAGATGGGGCRACATATATTTAATAACACTGAATTATTYAATATTGAATTATTATTTATTTGAYTAATGTTAATAAAATTAAGATTTCCCCTTTGGAATCTGCCACTCCAGATTTATCAACACGTGGTTTTCCCTCCTCACCTCCCATCTTTCCAGGGGCACCGAGGAAATCTCCTGGAAAATTGAAGATATTCTGGAAGAGCTCATCCARCACCAGGAGCAGGAGTCACTCCAGAATTATTTGGAGAAGGTAAAGACGAAAATGATTTATTGGAATTATTGGGTTTTGGACAAACTGTGTTTTGATGTTTTATTTACTCCAGGTTTTGTTTGGGGTTTTTTGGTGGAGTTCTTTGGGGTTTTTTGGTTGAGTTTTTTTGGGGGGGAGGGGTTCAAACTTTATTTGGGATTTTTTTGTTTGTTTTTGGTGGGGTTTTTTTTTGTTTTTAGGTGTTTTGTTTTTTTTTGTTGTTGTTGTTGTTGTTTGTTTTTGTTTTAAATTGGCATTTGATTGGGACATTCATGGGACATTTTTGCCGGTGACTTCCAGAGCTTTTCCATAAGATATTTGGAGAAAAGTGTTTTCCCTCTGGCTTTTGGGACACTTGGAGCAGAGCTTCAAGATTAGGAAGTGTTGATAAAGCTCCACTCTTGATTCCCAGCCTGGATCAGGGAATATCCAGCTCCTGGGAATGATTTCTGCCATTCCAGCCACTCTCAGAGGTTGAGTTTCCCTCACCTCTCTTTTCCTGGAGCACCCTTTGTTCTCTCTCTGGAATAGTCCAGAAAATCCCATCAAAACTGCACATTCCTGCTRGATYAGAAGAGGAGAAAGGGTTTGTGGCMRCCAAAATATCCCAAAATTCCAGTTGACACCTCCAGCTGCTTCTCCCTTGCTGCCAGGAGAAGGYTGGGTGCCCTTTTGGGATTTTCCTCGACTCCTGGCATGGATTTTTTTTCCCTCAAAAAGGGGATTTTCCTTTGTCATKCAGGCATTGAAATCTTCGCTACATCCCTTGGGAAAGCTGCTGAGGGCTTTGACTGTGGCTTTCCAGGCGACTTATTCCGGGATTGGGGCCAATAGGCACCTGCTGACCATGGCACAGGAGGAGGTCAAGTTCTACGCCAAGAAAATTTGGGAATTCTACCAGTAAGTCCCACACAGAGCCCTTCCATGGGGTGTGAGCACAGAGGGGTTGTAGAGTGACCTTTGGGATTGTGTTTGTAGRTGCCACACCTTATTCTTACTCTTTATTCTTGGAAAATTTTTGGAATTTTTGTGAATTTTTTGGGGGAATTCTTGGGAATTTTTGCGATTTTTTTATTTTTTTGGGAATTAGGAATTTTTAGGAAAGTCACTTCCCCAAGATTATAATGTCAATCAAAACACAAACCAGATCAATTCCTGGAGGAAAAACAGAATCATGGAATGGTTTAGGGTTGGAAGGGACCTTAAAGATCATCCAGTTCCAATCCCATTCCCCTGTCCCATGGTGCTCCAGCCTGACCTTGGACACTGCCAGGGATCCAGGGGCAGCCACAGCTTCTCTGGGAATTCCATGCCAGCCCCTCCCCACCCTCCCAGCCAGGAATTCCTTCCCAATATCCAACCCAAACCCGGAATTCTCAGAAAAATGAAGGCAAAGCTCGGATCATTTTTCAGACCGGGATCAATCTTTAATGCTCAGGGATGGATTAAGGAATTGTGACCACCCTACTCTTCAGAATCCCCAGAAATTCTGGAATTCTCAGCCATTCCCTGCTGTTCAGGGAGAAACCCCTCAAATTCTGGAACAACACTGCAGGAATTCCAGAGAGCTACCCCAATATCCTGCTTGATCCTGGCACAGCTGAGCTCCTCCTTTGGGAACAACAAATTATCCCTAAAAAAATAACTGGGAAGGAACTAATCTTTGCTTCTGCTGCTTTTCCAGGGGTTTGCTCCATCTGGCCCTGGAACAGAAAGGCCAAGCGCCCTCGGAGGATGGAGATCCCAGGTTTGTGCCATCTCTGGACGTTTCATTTCCAGCTGTTGGGATGGACGAGGTGCCTCTAGACATTCATGAAGTGCTGAGCTCCTGTTTGTGTGTTGGAGCCAGGCTTAGTGCCCAGGCCTGGCCCAGAATGCCAAGTTTTCTGTAGTTCTGCTTGGAACAGGGAAACAACTCCTCCTCATCCTGTTGTGGAGCAGAACACGGGGCAGGGGAGGTAGAAAACACTAGAAAACTGCTGATTTTTTTATTCCTGGAATAAAAAATTAGGAATGACTGTGGAAGAACAAGGTTTAGGATCTTGGGAGTGAGGAGCAGCATCTTTGTTCAGCTGGCCCTGCTCGGTCTGGGTTTCCTGCTGATTTTTCTGCAGCTGTTTTCACCGAGCATGGAGAGGCTGGAATAGTGAGGAGCTGGAAAAGGGGATTGATTTGGGCTTGGTGGTCGAGTGCTCCATTGGAATAGCTGGGAAAAACCAGCTGGGCATTGGTCTCTGGTGCTCCAAGRTTTTCCCATGGAAAATTTCTCATGGAGATCTTGTAGAGAGCAAGATCCTCTTGGATCTTCAGTTCATGGGCACCACAGCCTGACTGTGACCCGGAATTTGGGAGGAGGGAGAGGAAAATGAGGAGAACACCCTGGAAGTGCCTCTTTCTTGGGTGCTGGGTGGGTTTGGGAATATCCAGGTGGATTTCCTGGTCAGATCCTGCTTTTTTCCCAGTGTCCAGAAGGGCTCCAGCCTGGTCCTGCCCCTGATCCTGCCCTGCTTCTACCCTGAACTCTTCATGCTCTACATGCTCTACCACGAGAGGGAGGACGACCTCTACTGCCAGGGAATCGTGGATCTCAGCCTCTTCCCCGACATCAAGCTCCTGGAATTCCTGGATGTGCAGAAGTAAGTGGGATTTCTCCATTCCAGGATGGATTTTCCTGTGATCCCGGAGAAAATTCTGGGAACGATATGCAACCTTTCGCTGGATCCATTGCTGGAGGGAATTTTTCCCAGTTTTTCAATGCAATTGTTCCCAGCTGCCAGAGGAATTCCTACCCTGGAATGCCGATCTGGAAGGACAATTTTTAGTGGAAAGCTGCTGTTATGTCTCCTAATTCCCATTTTTGTGTGAAAAACTCCATTTTTAGCTCCCCAGATGCTTTGCTCCGACTCAGGACCAATCATCTGGAATTTACAAACACCTTGGAAAGGTCAATACCTCATTCCAGGGTATTTTCCTGTTAAAATGTGGGCAAGCAGACTGAAAAGAGGGAAAAAGCTGTGGGGGGAGATATTTCCTTCATCATTCCTGCTGCTGGATCCACCTTTGGAAGTGACAGGAGATCCCAGCAGCTTGGGAGTTTTCCTCAGGAATTTAAGGAGGGCAGCAGAGCCGGGGTCTCCATTTGATTCAGCCCAAAATTAATGAGGGGAATTGGATCTGAAAGGGCCAAAATTCCAGATCCAAAATTGGATCTGAAAGCACCAAAATTCCTTGTGGAATTTTTTACAGTGGGATTTTCAGGATTATCCCTGAGCAAAACCAACCCATGCTCAGGTCCAGGAGGAAATCCCACCTGGAGCAGAGTCAGGAGAGGAGCAAACTCAGCCTCCAAGGCTTGGKCACCACCTTGGAGGAGGAGATGGAAGAGCCAAAGGGATTTTGGGTGGAATTACACCAAATCCCTGTTTTCTCTTTGCAGGCACCTGTGGCCTCTCAAGGATCTCACCCTGACMACCAACCAGGTAAGGAGGAGCCCTCAGAGCTGGCCGGGAATGGGAAGGACGTGAAATTGGGTTTGGATGAGGATGGAGCTTCACCCAGTTGTCCCAGGACTCAGAGCTCCGTGCCTTGGGTTGATCCATTCTAATCCAGGGATGCTCCTGTGGATTTCCATGGAGCTCTTGTGGGGTGGCTGTGGGAAGTTCTGCTCCTGGTGTTCCCAAGGTATCCCTGTCTCCCTTGCAGAGGCGGTCCCTGATCAAGGACAAGTGTTTCCTGTCTGCCACCGAGTGTCTGCAGAAGCTCATGTAAGTCCTGTCCCACCTCTTCCCACTGGGATTTGGTTTTCTGGGAAGTGCCATAAATTTGTTTAAAAAGCATTCCAGGGCCAAGCTTCATTATTTAAGGAAAAGTTGTTTGAGATGTTATTTCTGTTCAAAATCCATGGAACTTTTCCCTCAAAAACTCCATGAAAGCATGTCACTGATGTTTAAATCCTGCTCAGGMTCTCCTGTTTTGCACAGATATTCCTTAGGAAGGAATTCCTGGCTGGGAGGGTGGGGAGGGGCTGGSATGGAATTCCCAAAGCAGCTGTGGCTGCCCCTGGATCCCTGGCAGTGTCCAAGGCCAGGCTGGACATTGGGGCTTGGAGCAGCCTGGGATAGTGGGAGGKKYCCCTGCCCCTGGAATGGGATGRGATGATCCTTAAAGTCCCCTCCAACCCTAGAGCATTGTGGGATGGTGATTCCAAACAAAGTCTTGGAAATTCCCTGTTGTCACCTGCCAAGCCAAATGGGATTTTGTGGTTATTCCAGAGCCTGTTGCTCTGGACTCAGGGAGCTTCATGAGTTTCATCCATCCAGTGGGGCACTCCAAGAGGTTGAGCAGGGAAAGCCAAGCTTAAAGTCCAGCCTAGGGAATGGCGCTGTGGGAGCAGCAGGAAGCTCAGGGGGAGCAGGAAAGGGGATCCGAGAGATGGGAACTCCCAGGGAAGGGGATCCAGGGGCTGGGAAGTGTCAGGGAAGTGGATCCAGGAGATGGGAATTGTCAGGGAAGGGAATCCAGGAGATGGGAATTGTCAGGGAAGAGGATCCGGGAGATGGGAGCTCCCAGCTGCCTAAATCCTGGAAAGAACCTCCCCATGGAATCCAATGTGATGATGTTCCACTGTGGAGATGGGGTCAGAAATGTCCCATTCCACCCTGGAGAAAAGGTCAGGAATGTCCCATTCCACCTTGGGGATGTCCCCTGTCACACCCTCAGTGAATCCTCTTTGGAGCAGCCTTTTAAGAGCATCTATGGACTCCAATCTCCTTAAATCCTCAAATTCCCTTTTTTATTTTTTTTTTAAATTCTACTACTTCAAGTTGGTTACAAAGTGAAATTCAGAGTATTTTTACAAAGCATCCTTGCCATGGCTCTTTCCATCCTGACAGCACCACGGTGGATCCCAGGGAAAAGCTGGAGATCCTCCAGAAGACCTATGAGGAGCTGGAGGCCACRGTGTCCCGGGTGCTGGAAAAGGAGTACAAGCTCCCCATGGATGACCTGCTGCCCCTCCTGATGTACGTGGTGTCCCGAGCCAAGTACGTGGAATTTTTTCCCTTCCTCTCAGGGTGGGATACCTCTGGAAAAGGCCAGCCATGTTTTCAGGCTGAATAATTGGAATTAAAACCTGGGATTTGTAGTTTCCAGCTCTTTCCAGAGCTGTAGTTGGGTTTTTTGGTGTGTTGGTGTGTTGGCTGAATAACTGAAATTAAAACCCAGGATTTGGGGTTTCYGGCTTTTTCCAGAGCTTTTCCCCGCTTCCCTGGGCAACATTCCAATGTTCAACAACTCTTTTTCCATGAGGAATTTTCTCCCAATATTCCAACTAAACCTCCCCTGGTGCAACCTGAGGGTATTTCCTGTCCTCTTGTCAAATATCTTGCTGGATGAGGGAGGGTTTTTTTGGGAACTATCAAGGAGGGGAAGAAGAGAGTGGGAAAATAGAGAAGGTGAATTTTTCTTAGGATGGAGCATCCAAAGAAGTGGATTTTTTCCAATGCTGGATTTTTCTTAGGATGGAGCAACTGGGAACACTTCCAAGGATCCCCCATCCTTGGAAATGTTTCCAGTTGGATGGGCTTGGAGCAACCTTGGATAGGGGAAGGTCCCTGCCCAGGGCAAGGGTTGGAACTGGATCATCTTTAAGGACCTTTCCAWCCCAAACCACTCTGGAATTTTGGGATTCYGTCTCTTCTGCAATCCCATCATYCCAGCTGCCTCCTGGAATCGGCCTCCAGAAGCTCAGGATGCGCAGGGAATCAGCAGTGGAATTCCAGACCCTGTCCTTCCTTCTCCCAGAAATTCTSAACACTCTCGTGAGTCCCCAGAGGTTTGTTGCAGCTGTGGTTTGTTTTTCCCTAGGATCCAACACCTGGGAGCTGAGATCCACCTGATCCGGGACCTGATGGATCCCACCAACCAGGGAGGAATGTTTGACTTCCTGTTAACAGCGCTGGAGGTAAGGGAATGTTTTCCAGCACTGCCAGTGGCAGCTGGAGGAGCAAMATTCCAGCTGTTCTGGACTGGGATTGAGTTTTAGGGAAGTTATTCCCCTGCTAGGCTGAAAAATATCCATCAATTTTACCAYGTTTAATCCTGCCCTGGGAGCAGCAGGGATTTTCTGGCTTGATGATCCCAAAATTCCTGAATTTCTCCCTGATTGTCACTCTGTTCCTTTCCCAGTCATGCTACGAACACATCCAGAGGATGAGGCTCCACCAGAGAGAAAATGGCCACATCTCCCACAGCTCCTGAGCCAGGATCCCCAGGAAATTCCTGAACTTTCTGGGCCAAACGCTGCTGGAAAAAGCGGGAATTGTGTCCCTGTTGTCCTRGCTGCCTTTCCAAGGGAAGGATTCCTTACCAGCTGAGCTTTCCCTGATCCCACAGTACCCACAAGGATGCTGAGGGCTGGAAGCTTCAATATTCAACCTTTGGGAGTCTCTTCCAATGCAGAAAAGGTTTCTTTTTTGTAGTTTTATGCCCTTTTCCCRCAAGTAATTCCCCAGAAACCGTTTCCTGCTCTGGATGGTTTTTTGCACTGGAGAACTGCTGGAGAAAGAAGAATGGATTGGATTTTGGATGGGATCTTTTCTGCTGGGCACAGCCAGGAGAGCTCATCCCAACATTCCTAAACATTCCTGCAGTGAGAGTGGCTTTTCCTGCCACTCCTCTTCCGACTTTTCCCAACTCAGGACCTCTCCCTTGCGTTTGGAAGCTGCTATTCCCTAATTTCCCTATTTTATTATACTTTAAATATTCCTGGTTTCCCTCAACTGGCTCCTGTGAGACCTCAGGGACGGCACTCCTGCACCTTGGATAATCCTGTGCTGCTTTGGAATTCTGGGGGCTTGGGAAAAAGGACACATTTGTCCTGGATTTGGGGAAACGCCCGAAAAAAGACACTGGAAAACCTGGAATATTAAATCCAAACCCAGCTGGTTTGGTGCACTGACAAACCCCTGAGGTGCTTTGTGCTCTGAGCCGAGCCAGGCTGGAATTTAAGCTGCCTTTGGAATCTTTGGAATATTCCAAAAGGGATATTTGGGATGCTGTTCCCAGCAGCCAAAAATAGCCCGGCTCAGCTGCATTTTTAGAGCAAAAGCTCTTTTTGACACAGTTTTTATCTTGCTTTTTTAAACTTTTCCCTCGGATTTTTTTTCCTTGTCCAGGTGACCCGAGGAAAACAAAACTCCCAGACTCTTTCCTTCTGTTTTTCCCAAATTTTATGCTTTAATAAATAACACAGGGATGACAAGAATTAATATATTAATGAGAGTATCCTACTGGATGTTTGAAGGGAATTTTATATTTCAATAAAGCTGTTGGAATTTTGAAGAGATTCCAGGCTCCACATGCTCCTTAATCCCCTATTTTTTGTCTTCAGGTATTTGGGAATTTTCTACGTTTAGGAAAGGTGMCTCCTTGATAATCCTGGGAATGAARAATTGGAAGTACAAAGCTTTCAARAAACGGGATTTTTGTGCTTCTATTCCCTGCTGGATCAGTGGCTTAAGCCAGGCTTAAYGCCAGGAATTTAACATCAAATCCATGCTTTTCTTCCCAAAAAAATTCATAGTCTGCTTCCAATCCTTGTTCCTCACCTCTAGGAAATGTCCCTTGGTTCAGATAAGGAAGGGAATTCCAGAAGCCTGGCTTGGAGAATGGAAACAGCCCTAAGGAACAGCTGGGAATTGAACTCCAGAGATGCCTAAACCTGGAATTTTTCCCCTGGCAGCAGCTGAGAGGCTGGGATGTGTTCATTAAAAAACCTCTGGATTTTGTATCCATTCTTCCATGCTCTGGGGAAGGATTTTCCATTTCAGGGACCACTTGCTACTCAAAAATGCAGATTTTCTACTAGAAAAGGACATGCAAAGTGCAGGAGGGTAGGAATTCCAAGGAATTCTCTGGAAAAGAAGGCGGATTTTCAGTTTGACTTCCTAAAACTTCCCGAGCACGAAGTTTTCCTCCCCTTTTTTGTTGTTGTTGGAGGAAGTTCTCGAGTGAGAATTCAAGTGAGGCCTCAAGTGCCAGCTCAAGGTAACAGTGTGCAGCCATTTGTGCTTCCAGGCTTTTTCTCCAAGGAAAAGCAGCTTTTTTGGGGATGTTCCACCGGGATGATTTGTGGCATTCCCCTCTGGAATTTTGCTGTGGAACCATGCAGGAGGTGCTGGTTGCTGTGGGCACAGCGTGGCTTTCAGGTTTCCCTGCTGGATCAAACCTTTCCTGGTGGGAATGCTGGGCCTTAGGAAATTCGGGAGCACATCCCAATTCCCATTTTTTATTTGGAATAACGAAGGCGGGGTTTGCTCCAGGTTTAATCAGTTCCTGCTGTGGGTAAATTCAATCCTGRGCCTCTGCACTTTGGAGATCCCACTTTGGAAGACGCCATTCCCAAATTCAGGCTCCAGCTCAGGCTTCCATGGAAGCATCACCAGCTGAGCTTCCCCAAAAAAAGGGATGGAAAAGCTGAGCTGTGCCTGGGAGCAGGAGTGATTTGGAAATCATGGAGCTGGGAGCAAAGCTGAGGGAATTTRCTGCATTCCAACRCCAGGCTTGACCCACAGGGAATTTTTCCCCCTTCCCTGAGTGCATGCTCATCATCCTAAGGAAGATTTGGGATTTTCTTTGATCTGAGGTTGTTTTTCCCTTAAAAAGCTTTGGGAAAGCTCTTGCACTTCTTCCCAACAGCTGATAAATGAGGAGGAATCCCTTTTCTCTCCAAACCCTCGGGAAAAGAGCCGGAAAAGCGGGAATTCAGAGCAGGGCCGTGTCAATGGCCGCTTCCAGGTGGTGGAGCAGAGCCTCCGGAGCGGGAGAGAGCGAGCTCAGGTCCAGCTTGCGGAAATCCTCGTTAGCGCTTAACGAGCTCAGCACCTTGGCCGTCCTCTTGAGGTCAAACACGGCGTGCAGCATTCCCAAGGTGGAGATGGCGGCTTTGGAATTGTCCCGGGCTGAGGCTTCCTCGTCCAGGCCCTTTTCCAGGACGGAGATCCGGTTCTCTGCRATGACCTTGAGGAAGTTGTAGAATTCCTTGTAGTCGATGCCCGTGCAGGATTTCATGATCAGCTAAAGCGGGATAAAGTGAATTAAAATGGGAATAACTCTGGAAGAATGGCCGAAATTTATTTGATCTCTCTGGAATAACCAATAATTTATGTTTAATTGTTTTTTTAAAAAAAACTTAGTGGGAATTGTCTCTACATTCAAAGGCACCAGGCTGTTTTTTTCCAAGTCCTTCATGGCTGTGAGAGTAGAAACCCACGGTTTTTGAAGGAAATCAACCCAAGGAGAGGGAAYAGCTTCCAGAAATAAATTTGGCATTTGTTTCATCCATAAATTTTTGGGAGGAAATGGATTCTTGCCCAGCTCCAGGGATGGGGCAGCCCAACTTCTCTGGGAATTTTATCTCAGCCCCTCCCCACCCTCACAGTCAGGAATTCCTTCCCAATATCCCATTTAATCTCCACTTTTCTAGTGGGAAACCATTCCCTGTATCCTGTCCCTCCATCCCTTGTCCCCAGTCCCTCTCCAGCTCTCCTGGAGCCCCTTTAGGCCCTGCAAGGGGCTCTGAGCTCTCCCTGCATCCTTCCCTTCTCCAGGTGCACATTCCCAGCTCTCCATATAAAAGCTCTCTTGATCCTGAATAGTTTTCCAGATTTTCAGACAACATTCCAACCTGGACACAACCAATACACACAAGCAATTCCCAWGTTTTTTCAAAGAATATTTGACARCAAAATAAAGCYGTCCCCAGCTCCCACTTCCTTATGGAACATGGAAATTCCAGCCATGAGGTGAAAGCCTTCAGCTCCACTGATCCACATCTGGAATTTCAGATCCCTTAACATTCAGGGATCCCRCTGTACCTGGCATTGGAGGTGCCAGTCATCCATGGGATCTTTCCATTGGTTGATTTCCCTCTGGACAGCTGCCAGCTCATCCTGCAGGAAGCACCACATRACAGCCACGTTGCAGCCGTTGACCCAGTTGTGGTTGATGGAAATGGTGTCTTCCTGAGGGAAAAAATTCAGCATAACACRGGGATAATGGATCATTGAGTTATCAGGAAGAATAATGAGATAATAAAGAATGTGCCGYTCTGAAAATCCTGTTCTCGAGAAGGGAAAGGCTTCTTCAGCATCAAAATCAGCTGGAAAAGTCCTTTCCATGTCCCTGAACAGCCCAAACTGTCCCTAATTCCACAAATCAAAAAGGTGGGAGAATGTGGAAGGGAGAGAGGGAAGTGGTTGGGAATTCTGGGATGGAATCCCAGAGAACAATTTGTTAATTGGCCATAACTAAATTAAAATTTCCAGTTAGGAATCAAGATTAACAATCCTACCGTGGGTCTGGCTCATCTAGAATCCCATTCCTGAGGGACTGAAAGCATTTCCCAACTAACAATCAGGAAAATGGGATGCAGGCAGCTTTTGCTTCATGAAATTTCAGTGAGCCAAGGAACTTGGGAGTTTTGATGCTTTTGGCATCCCAGAATAATCTGGGATGGAAGGGATCTTAAGGATCATYCCCTACCCACACCCTGCCATGGGCAGGAACACCTTCCCCTATCCCAGSGTGCTCCAAGCTTTTTCTAAMCCCCGAGCTGGAATTCCTCCCTCCTAGGAAGGATTTCCATACTGTTCTCTTCCTTTATCCCMCAGTCTTYCTCCTCACCCYAGTTCYATGCTACACCACRGAATTCCTGGAATGGTTTGGGTTAAGGATCATGCCATTCCCAGTCCTGCCATGGCAGGGATACTTCCCACTCTCCCAGTGACTCCAAGYCCCATCCAGCCCAACTCTGRACAGTTCCARGGATYCAGGWGCAGCCACAGCTTCTCTGGGAATTCCATCCCAGTGCCTCCATTCCTTCCCACTATCACCCAGGAGAACAGACCAGATTTCCCTGGGAATCTCCCCCAACGCTTTCCATCCCAACAAAACCCTGGGCTTCCCCCTTCCATCAGCCAAGAAGGATCTGAGCTGACCCGAGGTCTCTCCCGGAGCCATTCCCAGCGGGATCCCCATTCCCTCACCAGGTTGTAAACCTGATGGTGCCACCCGCTGGGAATGAAGACGATCTCTCCCGCTTCCTGCACGATCTCCACGGGGGGCTGGCTCTGGCCGTAGCGCGGGTACACCTTCCTGTCCCGRAGGCTGGGAGCCGTCACGTCGAAGGGAAGGTTGCCATGGCAATCCTTCAGGAACTCCTCCTGGCCCGCAGGATACAGCAGCCATCTCTTCCTCCCACAGATGTTGGCTGACCAGCTGTAGGAGCGGAAGACGTCGGCGTGGAATGGCGTCCTGGGGACAAATCAGGGACGCGCGGAAAGTCAATCCCGAAAAATCTGAGRGGGAATTCAAGTCATCGAGAATCTCAGATACTGATCCCCAAATTCCTCATGGAATTGTGGCTGGTCTGTGGAGTTTGATCTGTTAAAAGGCCACTGTATGAATACTGATCCCAAACCTTCTTCCTCATGGAATTTTGGTTGGTTTATGGAATTTTATTCATTAAAAGGCCATTATATCCATACTGATCCCAAACCTCCTCTTCCTCATGGAATTTTAATTGGTTTATGGCATTTTATCCATTAAAAGGCCACAATATCCATATTGATCCCACCCATCCTCTTCCTCACTGGAAATTTGGTTGCTTTATGGAATGTTTTATCTCCTCTGTGCTTCTCCACCCCCTTGTTTTTAATTTATCCCACAAATCCCTCATGGGCAGGAGATTCTGGGATGGGACCTGCTGACAATACTCCAAATTTCACTTTGTAACCAACATCTGCCTGGAATTTTCACCTGGAAAACACCTAACTTGAGTTATCAGCTCCATTCCCAGGCTCCTGCTGCCCCTGCAAATTCCAAGTGGCTGATGATCCCACAGAAATTTCTCCTCTAAAACATTCCACAAGCCACCTGATAATTTTGTGAGTTTTCCCAGATTTCYAGCCTCAAATTCCGTTATTTTCAGCAGGTTTTTCTTTTCCACCCTTGGGATAATGCCTTACCAGGAGCCCTTGGGTCCCATGTAGACGAACCTATAATCATCCACRGCCACTGCATCCCAATATTCGTTGAGCCAATCCGAGGAAAAATACACGGGAGTGGTGTAAACATCGTGCTCTGGGAAAGCCCTGGAAAAGAAAAAATGTCAGAAAAAGAGCTYGGGAAAATGCAGATGGAAGGAGGAAGCAGCCATAGGCTTTAGCAGAGAATTCCAAAGGTTTAGGATGGAAGGGAGCTTTAGGATCAGTTTATTCCAGCCCTGCCATTAAAATGGGAGTAATTTTTGAAAAATGACAGGACAAATTGCCCACATTTATTTGATCTCTGGAATAACCAATAATTTATGTTAAATCTTTTTAAAAAAAAAACCTTCCCCAACCCAGGGTGCTCCAGGCTGGCCTTGGACTCTGCCAAGGATCCAGGGGCAGCCACAGCTTCTCTGGGAATTCCATCCCAGCCCCTCCTCACCCTCCCAGCCAGGAATTCCTTCCTGAGGTGTTTGTCCAGCTGGAGAAGCGAAGCCAGAGCAGGGGGAAGAGAAATTTAAGGAGTGGGAATGTTCCCAGGAAAGGAAATGGATATTAAAGGATCCCAAATCCAGCATGGTCCCTTGAATAATCCTGATTCAGATATCTCCCAGATGGACTGCAGGAGGTGTTCCAGTCACACTTTCCATAGGGATAACACAATGGAACACCATGGAACGGTTTGGGATGGAAAGGACTTTAAGGATCATTCCATTCCAACCCTGCCATGGGCAGGGACACCTTCCCTATCCCAAGTCTTGGGCACTTCCAGGGATCCAGGGGCAGCAACAGCTTCTCTGGGAATTCCATCCCAGCCTCTCAGCACCTTCCCAGAGAGGAATTCCTTCCCAATATCCCACCTATCCCTGYGTCTGTCCCTCCATCCCCTGRAAAATCCCTCTCCGTGTTTCCTGCAGCTCCTTCAGGCCGCACTTGGATCACCCCAGAGCTTCCCTTTTCCAGGCTGAGCATTCCTGACCCCTCATCTTTTGGAATGAGCATCTGCAGGGTTTGCAGGGCTCAGACCTGCTCAGGTGCCAGTCCTTGAGGTAGAGGCAGCCCCGGGAGGAGCGGTAGCCGTTCCTGATGTATTCCTTCCAGTACTTCACRTACTCCTTGAAGGGCAGCTGCTCCTTGGGGTTGGAGTTGTACTCCTTGACATCGCAGTTGGCCACAGGGACCACGGCTTCACCTGGAATGAACAAATCCCTCAGGAATTCTCCTTGGGAATGAGGAGAAGAACTCATGAAATGATCTCCCTCGAGCTCATCCTACACAGCAGCCTCAGAATTCCAATATTCCAAATATGGCCTTCAAGTACTCCAAAACAACCCCATAAAGCAACAATCCCGATCCCAGGACCGTCATTCTCAGGAAACACRATCCAAACCCGGTGTTATTTGTTTGATGTGGCCTGAATATTCCTGCTATTTATTGAATGTGACCTGGATTTTCCTGTTTTTCCTTTAACGTGACCTGAATTTTCCAAGTTTTTCTTTCATGTGACCTCAATTTTCCTCTTAAATTTCATTTGAAATGGGGTTATGCATTAGTGTTTAATATATAAATCCATAAATATGATTTAATAAATTATTAACTAGTAATCACCAATTATCATTTATAGCATTTAGATTTATTTAAATTTATACTATTATTTTAATTAATTACAGGTATTCCAGTATCAGTTTCATTGCATCTTCACTATTTTGGTATTAACTTATTCTTTTTATATTTTCATTCTAACCTAACAATAAACATAATTTATGATTTAAAATTATAATTTTAGTAGTATTATTGTTATTTTTATTATTATTATCTTTTTAAACAGATGAAGACTTTTGCGATTTTTGCTGGAAGAGATTTCTGCTGGAACCACAAAACCTTTCCTTGTTTCCCCATGGAAATATTCAGGCTGCTCCCATGRTTAATGTTCAGCAGGGAAATAAATGGGAATAGTTAAATTATCCAGTATTTTTTAATTTATTTCCTTGATAACGATGGGAAAAATTTTGCTCCACGGGAGTAAAGATGAGCTTGGAATCTACAAAATAAATGAAGAAAATTCCAGGATGAATTTAGGAAAAGGCTTGGAATTCAGCTTGTTTTAGTGCCTCTCTCACCTAAAATTAAATTTTTTAAAGCTGCATCCTTGGGGATTTGAWTCAGGCAGGAAAAAACAATTCCAGGACTCACCAAACTTCTGCAGGAGATGCTCGAAGTTGGGCTTCCCATCCCGCGTCACCCAATTCCTCCTGCTGCCCCAATCCTCGGTGAACTTGGCCGAGAAGATGCAGGGATGGTTGGGAATGAGATAATCCCGGAAAAAATCYGAGTAAGTGAAGGAATCGACTTTTTCTATAAAATCCACGTGTCCCCCGGGAAGCCCCGGAGCAGCCGGAGAGGAGGTTCCAGAGTCCCGGAAAAAGGCGGTGGAACAGGCRAAGGTTGCCCTGTCCATGCAGGCTGGAAAAGATTCCTGGCCRAGCCAAGAAAGTTTGGAGCAGYGGCTATCCCGTTATCCCAGGGTRGAAAAGAAAAACCTGCTGAAAAAACCGGGATTTGAGGCCGGAAATCTGGGAAAACTCACAGGAAAACGGAGGTGAAATAAGGAGCGGTGCGGGAGCATCCCAGCTTGGYGGGATAAGGAGGATTTTCCATGATTTAGAGAGCTGGGATAGCCGGCAAATCACCCTCTGGACGCTGCTTTTGCCGTGTCACCTCCTTGCCAGGGCTGCTTCGTTCCTAAAAGAGGAGGAACAGAGAATTTCCGTGGGATATTCCCAATAAATTTATGAATTAGGGCTGGAGAGGAAGAAATGCCCTAAATATTTGGGAAAGCGCCGGAGCGAGGCGACTGCTCTGGGATCATCCCTTTGTTCCAGGGTCTGGCACCTCCCACCTTCYGCAGSGCTKKTTSMAKGGAKSKGGRGCGATTGCAGGATAAAAATAGGGCAAATAAATGGGGAAAAAAAAAAAAAAAAGTAAAGGAAGGACTGAGCACAGAGGGAAAGGGAATAAACCAAACAGGCTGCGGGGATGGGCTTTGGGAGACGCCGAGGGAAAAGGGGATTAAAGGATCTCCATGAGGGAATTCCCCCCTCGCGGAGCTGCCAGGGAATATCCGGACTCGGCTGTAGGATTAAGGAACATCCCTAAGGGAATTCCCCGCTCCCAGAGCTCCATGGGAACATCCGGATTAAGGGACCTCCATAAGGGAATTCCCCCCTCCCAGAGCCCCACGGGAACACCGGGATTACGGGACATCCCTAAGGGAATTCCCCCCTCCCAAAACCCCACGGGAACACCGGGATTACGGGACCTCCATAAGGGAATTCCCCCCTCCCAGAGCCCCACGGGAACACCAGGATTACGGGACCTCCATAAAGGAATTCCCCCTTCCCAGAGCCCCACGGGAACACCGGGATTACGGGACCTCCATAAGGGATTCCCCCTCCCTGGTGCTGGGGGGGGGAGGACCCGGACAGCACAGGGCGTCGCACACCCCATCCCCGCATCGCGCTGCCGTTCCACCCGCGCCCCCGCCGCCCACAGGAACCGGGAGCACCCTGAGGGACCCACACTCACCCCCGCCCCCCGCGGGGAAGCCCCTCGGCACCAATGTCGGCGGCGGCGGCGACGGTGAGGGGCTATGGCGGGCGCCGTCGGAACCTCTGCGTCGAGCGGGTGGGGGCCGGAGGGGAGGTGAAAAGCGGAGCGCAGCGGCGCGCGGCTCAGCCAATGGGAAGGCGTAGCGCCGCGGAGCTCAGCCAATGGGAGCGCGCGGCGGGCGCAGGCGCGGAGCGGGGTCGGTGCCGCACTGAGGGAGGTGCGTGTGGGGCCGGGGGGGCTCGGACGGGACCGGGGGGGCGGGAGGGGCTGGAAATGGGGCAGGGAGGGTTTGAATTGAGGCTTAGGGCTTGGAAATGGGGCTGGGGCGGCTCCGGACCGGGAATCGGGGAGCTCTGAGGCACGGCCGGGGTGGTTCCTGGAGCGAAAGCGGGGGAGGTTTTCGAGCCGGAGCCTGGCGGGTCCGACATAGGGCCGGGGAGGGCTTCGGGTCCGGGCTGGGGTAGCTCGAAGCGGGGTTTAGGGAAGGGTCTGCCTGGGGGACGGGATGGGCTCCGGACCGGGGACCGGGGCTGGGCTGGGCTTCGGACCGGGAATGGGGGGGGCTCGGACCGGGAAGGTTTTGGAGAGGAAATTCGTGGGTGGGGGAGGGAGAGCTACGGTGTTCCCAGGGCTCTGCATTGAGGCCGGCAGTGCTAAATGTCTGCACCAGGGATCGGGGTGAGGGGATGGAGGGAACCTTCAATAAATTCATGGATGACACCGAGCTGTGTGGGAGTGTGGACAYGGAGGGGCTGGAGCTGGGAAGGGGCTGGAGATTTCCTCAGGGAGCTGGGAATGTTCATCCTGGACCAAAGGAGGCTCCGGGGGGACCTTGTGGCTCTGCACAACTCCCTGACAGGAGGGGGCAGCCGGCCGGGGATTTGGGATCTGCTCTTAGGGAACAGGGACAGGAGGAGAGGGAATGACCAGGGGAGATTCAGGTTGGACATCAACAGGAATTTCTCCATGGAAAGGGTGGTCAGGCCTTAGCAGGGGCTGCCCAGGGAGGTTTGGAGTGCCCATCCCTGGAGGTGTCCAAGGCCAGGTTGGAGCACCCTGGGGACARTGGGAGGTGTCCCTGCCCATGGCAGGGGTGGGATGGGATAATCCTTAAATCCCTTCCATCCCAAACCATTGGAATTCTCAGGTGTAGCAGGTGCTTGTTGAGTTTGGGSTGAGGAGGAGGGCGACTCACGGAAAAAGGGAAGAGAAAGGGCTGGAAATCCTGCCCAGGAGGAAACAGCAGGAGAGGCTTGGGAATGATGGTGGGGAAGGAGAATGGAATGAGTTGGGAAAGGAAAAAAGGAGCTCACTCCTGGCTTGGAGAATCCTTTGGAGAATCAGGGAAACCTGGAATTATGTCCTAATTCAAAAAGAGGGAAAAGCAACTGGATGGGAATTCTAAATTAAGTCATTGAGGGGTGCTGGCTCCTGGGAGCTTTCCAGAAGCTCAGCATTCCCAGATGGTTGTGCCAGGAACAAGCCACCCTGGGGAATCCTCAGGGGATTAAGGGATCTCCATGAGGGAATTCCCCCCTCTCAGGAGGCGAGAGGAGAGAAACTCCAGCATCTTGGAAAGAAACGTGGGAATGTTTCTCACTCCTGGGAAAAACCCGGGAGTCACCTCTGCTGGGAATGCTGCCCAGGGATGGCAGCAGCTCCTTCTCCCTCGTTAATTCCTTAGGAACGCTCTCAGCTAATTGTGGGATCTCAGGGCAGGTGAATCAGCACCTTTTTATAGGAGCAGCCTCCGGATGATGTTCCAGGTAAAGAATTCCTGAAATGTCACATGGAAAAACTACGTCTGCGTGGATGGAACTCTGGGATTTTGGGGTAGATGTGGCCAAAAATCTGATTATTGACTGAAAAASAGGGATTTTCACTGGAAAATCAGGGATATCCCTGCTTTTCGGAATGTGGATAATGGAAGATTGTGGGTAGGGAAAAACTCTCAGTGGACAGATTGTGAGGGAACATTCCTTGGAGCAAATGGAAGGAATTTCTTGTGGAATCACTCTCCAGGCTGAAGGGCTGTGGCATTCCCAAGTTTCTAAACCTATTCCTGACTCTATTTCCAAGGAACTGGAGGCTACTGGTGGTTTTTATTTGATTTTCCTGCCAATCCAGACCTTTCCATGGTTTAGGAAAGGTCTGATTTATGTCTGCTGTTTTCCTTTGAGGGAATGCTGGCATGGTTTGTTTCATGGCACAGAAATATTGTCTGGAGAAGCTGGGCATGGACAATCCCTGGAATTGTTGAAAAGAAGGATGGAGCAGCCTGGGATAGTGGGAAGTATCCCTGCCCATGGATCCTGAAGATCCCTTCCATCCCAAACCATTCCATCATTCTAATCCATAAATCCAGGGTAGTCCTGCCCATCAGTTTTCCAGTAATTCTGACCATTCCCTTGGTTTGATGTTGGCAAAATTCCTTGAGGTTTTCAATTGAAATTCCAATTTCTTCTCTGAGAGAGAGGAAAAGAAAAAAAAAAGGAGTTCTCCAGGTGTGATGTTGACAAAAATTCTATTATTTGGGGAGGAAAATGTGCTGGAACAATGAATGGATTTAATCCCRTGTGGATTTTTCCTTGGAAAATTTGCCCTCAGGCACAGAGAGGAGCTGAGTAAGGGCTTTGAGCTCTCAGGTGAGTCAGGAATCACAAGAGCTGATCCAGGGATAAAATCCCAGGAAGTGGCTGCTCCGCCTGTCCTGTGCTGCCAGGCCTCAGGTTCATTTATTATTCCATCAAAATCGTGGATTTTTAAAGGAATTCTGATTGTGGGAACAGCCTCAGGTGTATTTTCCTTCAGTTTATTTTCCCCTGGTGAAAATTTGGAAAAAAAACAGAGGGGAAAAAGTGATCCCTGAGAATTCCATGGCTGTGGATCCAGGTAAGGAGCTTGGATAGGGGTCAGGAAAAGCTTGTTTTAATATATTATTAAATATAAATCCTTAATTTATACTGGAATTTTCACTGTAGGAGCAGTCTCAGATGTATTTTCCTTTAGTTTTTTTTTTTCCTGGTGAAAACTTGGAATGGAAAGATACAGGAAAAAAAATGTTCCCTGAGAATTCCATGGGTAAGGAGCTTGGGATAGGGCTCAGGGGAAAAAAAAAAGCTCAGAAGGAGCTTTTTCATGGCACAGGGATTTTATCAATATGTATAAATGTTTTTTAAATTGATATTATAAATTTTATAGGAATGGTTTTATAAATGCAATATAATAAATACAGAAAATAAASTAATAAATATAACAATATAATAATTATAATTATTATCCATTTTTTAAAAATTGTATATCATATTTCTGTGTTCTATAGCTATGATTCAATAAATTAATATAGTCATTAATCAAATTATAATAATAAATATAATGATTTAAATAATTATTAAAAGGCCAAGGAAATAAGGGATGGAAACCAAAATAAAGGAATTTTGTGAATATAAAGGAATAATGTGAACCAATCCTTATCTTAATTATATTGGAATTTTGAGTGCAATTAATTTTAAAAAATTATTGGAACTAGACTATGTAACAATCCATAATAAAATTATTAAAATCATTAAATAATAAAAGTCTTAAAATTGTTAAATAATAAAATTATACTGATAAATTATTCAGTAAGTATCATTATTAATACGATTTTAATCATACATCTAAATAATTATTTAAATAATAAAATTATCAGAAATCCGTGAAGGTAAGTGATGGAAACCAGAATAAAGKGTTTTTTGGAATATAACACGGACTAATCTTTATCTTAATTATATTGAAAATTTGAGTGTAATTAATGTAAAAAGTCATTGAAACTGTACTGCCTAGTAGTCCATAATGAAATAATTAAATGATAAACTTATATAATATAAATAATAAAAATATTAAACTAAAATAATTATTATTAGGGATTTAAAACTGTTAATATAATTATGTAAATAATAAAATTATTGCAAATCCATGGAAATAAAGGATAGAAACCAAAATAAAGGAATTTTTGGGGTATTACATGGACCAGTTATTGTCTTAAATATACTGGAATTTTGAGCGTAATTAATTTWAAARATCTTTGGAACTGGACTGCATAATAGTCCATAATAAAACTATCAAATTAATAAATTTTAAACATTATGAAAAATTAATAAATAATAGTAAAATTACATATAGAAATATTATTAATAATGAAATTATTATTTAAATAATAGGAATATTTAAAAGCTACAGAAATCAGGGATAAAAGCCAAAATAACGGGATTTCTGGGATATAATGGAGACCAGTCCTTATGTTAATTGTATTGGAATTTKGAGCGTAATTAATTTTAAAAATAATTGGAACTGGACTGCATAATAGTCCATAATAAAATAATTAAATTGTTAAATGATAAATTTATCCAAGATGGTTAAATAATAGAAATATTGATTGAATTATTATTATTATTATTATTATTATTATTATTATTATTATTATTATTATTATTATTATTAGTGATTTTTGACAGTTAATGTAATTATGCAAATAATGAAATTATTTAAAATCCATGACAATAAGGGATAGAAACCAAATAAAGGAATTTTTTTAGGATATATAGGAATAAAGAAATTTATAAAGGATGTAATGTGGACCAGTCCATGTCTTAATTGTTTTGGAATTTYGAGTGTAATTAATTTCAAAAACCACGGGAACTGGTCTTTTTAAGGGATATTCCAGGTGGAGCATCCTGAAAACACTGGGAGATCTCAATGTGGGATTGGGAATTCACTGTTCCTGGAGAAGGAATTTTTTGTTTCCATGAGAATTCCCCAACTTTTCYTGGAGGGAGCAGATTGGCCCAGAATGGTGGAGGGAAATTAGCGGGGATCTCATTTATGGCACAGGTCAAGGAGCAGAATTCCTTGAGCTTGTGGTCTGGGATTAATCTCTGCATGATCCCATGAAACAGCAAAGCCAYGGAGACCGTGATGGATCGGGGAGCAATTAAATCCCGATGACGTCATCGACATTCCCAAATTAATTGTGGGATGTAACCAGGCCTCGGTRCTGCTGCAGAGCCAGGAGGGAGATATTCCAGGAAAAATTCCAACCCTGGGCTCCTAAAAACTTGTGGAAATGTGGAGAGAAACCTGTCCAGGGCTGAAATTTCCCATTCCAAGGTTGGGATTGTTGGAATGTGAAGGAAGCCAGGTCTGAGGCGTGGGAAGCTCAAGGTTTTCCTGTTTGAATTCCAAATTCCAGTGAGCAAATCCCATGTGATTARCTCTGTGTCATCAGCATTGATCTCCTGGGAAAAAAGAAATGCTGAGAATATTCCACATGGAAAATCCGATGGGTTTGGGAGGGTGTTTGGGATTGTTCCACCAGAAGTTTCAGGATAACTTGGATTTGGGATTTTTGGGATCATTTGGGCAAGTCTGTCCTGAGACAAAGAGGGATGGCCTGAGATTGAGAGAATTCCTGATAAATACTGGGAATTCCCAAAGAATATTGAAAATTCTTGAAGAATATTGAGTGTTCCTGAAGAATATTGATCAGTTTGTGGCTGGGAATTTGTGCTCCTAATTAATAATCATTAACTAAGGAGATGTCCCTGCCCATGGTCTTTAASGTCCATTCCAACCCAAACCATTCCAGTATTCCATGGATTGGATGGAAATTCTGGAATGTTCTTAATGTGSCTGGATGTTGAGATGCCAGAAAGGAAAGGAGCAAGGATTTCTAAACAAGGATGAGCTGGAATTTTGGGATATTCTGGTTGTCCTTTCGTATCTGGGAGTGGGAATATTCCAGGATAAAAATGGAATTATTGGTAAAATGGGGTGGGCAGTCATGTTGACAGCCCTTTTTAAAGGAAATGTCCTGGAATTTTGGGATATTCTGGATGTTGACAGCCCTTTTTAAAGGAAGTATCCTGGAACTTGGGGATATTCCGTTGTTTTTTTTTTTTTCCTTGGCTATCCACCTGAAGGGATCTGGGAGCCAGCCACAGATGTCATTAATCCAACATTTAATGCCCAATATCGAATATCCAGTACCCAATATCCAATAYTTCATATCCCTATCCAGTATTAATATCCAGTGTCTAATATCCAATAAAGCAAGTTCATTAATGATTCCTGCTTTTTCCCCTGTTTTCCCTGGATTGCAGCATCTCCCGCTGGATTTGTGAGCGTTCCCCTCGGCGCGCCGATGAACGAGGACATCCGGATCCACTCCTGGCCTTGCTCCTACTACCTGGACACCARCAAGCAATGGATCCCGGGAAGACTCTGCCTGACTTCCGTCTCCATCAAATTCACGGCTGACAGGAGCGGGGAGCTCCTGGTGGACTTCCAGCTTTCCGGGATCAGCGAGATCAAGAAGGAATCTTCCCACCTCATCTTCAGCTCCTTGACTGTGCTTGAGCGTGGCACCAAGCACTGGTTCAGCTCCCTGCACCCCAACAGGAATGTGGTGTTCAACATCCTGGAGCACTTCTGGCGGGAGCAGCTKCTCTCCAGCCAGGAAGGGGCGGCGGGAGCAGCCCCAGAATCTGGGAAGGGCAGGGAATTGGCAGGAATGTTGGTGGGATCCCAGAAAAGCCTGGAGGACACAGCCAAGGTGCTGCATTCCCAGGGAGAGCAGTTTGACAACATCCTCAGGGGGCTGCACAAGATCGAGGGGGACATGGATGTGGCTGACAGGTATGGAATGGGAATGGGAATGTGAGCATTCCCAGAGCTGGGAGTGGGATTGCGGTGCTGGTGGGGATGGGATTTATGGGGCAGATCCGCACAGGGCTTTAGGAAATGAAATGCTGGATTTTTGGTTGGAGGGATGGAGCAGCTCTGTGAAGAAAGGCTGAGGGAGGTGGGAATGTTCACCTGGAGAAGAGAAAGATCCAAGGAGAGCTCAGAGCCCCTTGCAGGGCCAAAAGGGGCTCCAGGAGAGCTGGAGAGGGACTGGGGACAAGGGACAGAGGGGCAGGACACAGGGAATGGCTTCCCACTGGAAAAACAGATTTAAATGGGATCTTGGGAAAGAATTCTTCCCTGAGAGGGTGGGGAGGGGCTGGGATGGAATTCCCAGAGAAGTGTGGCTGCCCCTGGATCCCTGGCAGTGTCCAAGGCCAAGTTGGACATTGGGGCTTGGAGCAGCCTGGGATAGGGAAATGTGTCCTGCCTATGGATGGGGGTGGGAATGGGATGAGCTTTAATATCCCTCCCATCCCAAACCATTCCATGATTCCCATTTATCCCTGGAGAGGGATGCTGCCATCAGCAGTGCAGCACATGGAAAATCAAATCCAAACCACCCTCTCATTCCCAATTTTTTTTTTTTTTTTTGTGAAAAGAGGCCCAGTGGGGCATCAATTCAGGGATCTGTGCTCATGATCCTTCCTTGGGAAAGGCTCCTGCCAAAAGGGAATGTTTTCCTTAGGGAGCTGCCCCAACACTGTGGAAAGGCAGTCTCTGCTGGAGTTTGGAGYCTCAGCCTGGAATTTTTAGAGTTTTATCTGGGAATTAGGTGTGGTGCAAAGGAAAAAGTGGCATCAGCCTGTGGGGCCAATGGAAAAGGAGCGGGAAAAGGCAGGAAGTGGTGATGGATGGGCAGGAGTGGGAATATTGAGGAGCAGACATGGAAACAGGCCTGGATAAATCCAGTTCCCATTCCCTCCATCGCAGCTGGGATCGTGGGTGTTTTTCTGWTGGATTGTGAGGAGAAGGTGGGCTTGGAGCAGGATGGATCCTGGGGAGCTGCAAATGGGTTTGAGGAGGGAATAACAGTGGGCTGGATTTGGGATTAAGGAATTTCTGTGGGGAGATTTCCTTGGAGCTGCCAAAATTTCAGGAGCTTCCCACTGCTTTCCCTTTTCCCAACCCTCCCTTCCGTCTTSCAGGCTGTTGACTGAGCTGGAATCTCCTTCCTGGTGGCCCTTCAGCAGCAAACTCTGGAAAAGCCCTCTGGAAGCGAAGCCAAAGGAGACGGCGGCGGCAGCTCCCGACACCAAGAGCGGGGAAGAGATCCTGCTGCGAATTCCCGTGATCATCTCCCAGCGCAGCGACTCCAACGCCAAACCCGGCAAACTCACCCTGCTCCCCTCGGGCCTGGAGATCCGGGACTGCAACTCGCAGCTCGTGCACCGCTTCGAGTCGCGGGACGTGGACGATATCCGCGTGCACACGCCCTACGAGATCAGCGTCCGCCAGAGGTTCATCGGCAAACCCGACCATTCCTACCGCCTGCTGTCGGCCCGCATGCCCGAGCTCATTCCCGTGCTGGAGATGCAGTTCAGCAAGAAGATGCAGTTCCTGGAGGATGCCCTGGGCTTTGYCGGATCCAGGAAGTCTCCCCAGGCGGATTTGGGAACGTCCATCTGGCAGGCAGGTGGGTGGGTGGCAGTCGGAGAATTCCCGGCTCTGAAGGTTTCCAGGTTTTTTCCGAGGAGCATTTCCGAGGTGAATCCTGTCCCTGYTGTCCCTGCAGTGAGTCCATGGCGAGGGTAAATCCAAAGAATAACCCTTGTGTGGCTTCAGAGCCTTGGGCTCTCCTCTTTTTCCTGGTGGGAATTCCACCTGGAAGGGACTATCCAGTATTTAATGCCCAATATCCAGTATTTAATATCCAATATTTAATATTTAATATCCGGTGTTTAATATCCAATGTCCAACATTTAGTATCCAATGTCCAATATCCAGTATTTAGCATCCAATATCCAATATCCAGTATCTAATATATAATATAGGATATTTAATATGCAGCATCCAACATTTAGTATCCAATACGCAGCATTTAGTATCCAATATTTAATATCTAATAGCCATTATCCAATATTTAATATCTAATATTTCATATCCAATATTTAATATACAGTATCCAGTATTTAATATCTAATGTTTAATATCCAGTATTTAGTATCCAATATCCAATATTTAGTGTCCCATATACMATATCTAATACACAATATTGGATATTTAGTATACAATGTCCAATATTTAATATTGAATGTATAATAGCCAATATCTAATATTTAATACCTAATATCCAGTATCCAATATTTACTATCCAATATAAAATTTAATATCCTATATTTAATGTTTAATATCCAGTATTTCATATCCAGTATTTAGTGTTCAATGTCCAATATTTAATATTCCTATCCAATGTTAATATCCAATATTTAATATACAGTATCTAATATTTAATATACAATATTGCATGTTAATTATCCAGTGTCCCATATTTTGTATCCAGTGTCCAATATTTATTATCCAACATCTAATATCTGRTATGCAATATTGGATATTATCCAATATTCAACATTTAATGTCCAATATTCAATATTCAGTACTCAATGTCCAGTATTTAATATCCCTATCCAATATTAATATCTTGTATTTAATATCCAATATTAATGTACTGTATTTAATATCCAATATTTAATATCCAGTGTCCAAAATCCAACATTTAATATCCAATATTTAATATCCAGTATTTCCATTGAAACTGTCATTGCCTCAAAGACAGAAAGTTCAACCCAAAAATCCAGGAAATTTTGAATCCACATATGGGATAAACACCATTTTCCCATCTTTTGGGAAAGGATTATGATATTAGACAAGTCCAGATGCTGGAATTTAGGAGATCTTGGAATTATTTTAAGAAAATCTTGTAGATTGAACCCTTTTCCCAGCAATGGAGTTGACATTCCCTGCCATTAATCCTTCTAAAATTCCAGGAAAAGTTGAGGTTTTTTAATCCACCCTGGGAATTTTTGACAGTTGGGAAYTTATTCCTCCCAACATCCCTGAATCCTCATTTTTTCCTGATTGTGAATCCAGAGTAGCAGATCAAGGATGGATTCAGTGCCGAAAACAAGCAGAAAAACGGAATAAAATAATAAATCCACCAMTTCCTCTGCCCTGAGTTCCAGCTGGGAAGGGAATATCCTGTTGTTGAGGAATATTCCGGCTTGGAAAAGCTGCTTCGTTTTTAAGAAAATTAATTTTGGCACTGGAATTTCAGCACAACAACTCCAGGGAAAAACAACCTGCTGGGTTCCTGTTATTCTGGCAAATCAGAGCCAAATTCCTGAGGGAATAGTATCAAATCCTTGGATCTCCAGCCCTTCTCTGGTGCTTTTCCCGCTGTTTTGCATCCGGATGTTGCTCTCCTTCCCCTTTTCCCTGTTTTATTTGGAAAAGATTGGGAGGTGATGGAAATCCTGACTTTTCCAGCTCTGCTTGGTTTTTGTTTTCCCTGGATTTGTCTCTGTTCCTGTTCTGTCACAAGGTGGCACTCACGGACTGTGTCTGATCCTCTGGGAGTTTTCCGTGGAAATCCTGAATTTTTATTTTTTATTTTCCATTTTCCTCAAAGCATCGGGGAGAAAATTGTTATTATCCATGTCTGTCTCCCTGTTTTCAGATAGGGAATTGATCCAGGGATTTATAGGAAAAATACCCATGCATGGGGGGGGTGGTGTAAATCCCTCTCAAAATCAGGGATTTTTTCCCCAAAACTGTCCCAATCCCACCTCGATCCTTTGTTTACACAGTCCTGCCCTCGGTTTATGCATAAACACATTTATATAATTAAACATCAAAATAATTCCTAAGGYTTTTGGCTTAATTCCATGTGGAAAAGAAATTTATGGAGAGTTTGATGCCCATCCGATTACCTGGAAGTGTTTTTAGCTGATTTACAGCACTTTTCCTGCTGTTTTTTTTTGGGATGTTTAAATTTCCAGGATAGAGCAGTGGGGGCTGGTTTGGAACTGCCTTTATCCAGTTTTATCCTCARAAATGGCTGACAACTTCCCAGGATTAAAAACCTGGATTAAAATCCTATATTCCATCTTGGAAATCCATTCCAGTTGCATGGGACAATTTAGAGCAGCACTCTCTCAATCCTGCAGCTCCATCCTGGTATTCCCAGGATTTTATCCCTTTGGAGGCTGTGAATTTTTCCTGCTTATCCCTGTGCTTGTGTTTCCTARTAATTTTGATTTTCCTGGATTTTCTCCTGAGCTTTGGTGGCTTTTTTTCCTCTCACGGTGGCAGCAGCTCCRGGTGTGAAAGGAACAATCCCAAATATTTGAACATTCCTGCCTTGCCACCAATTCTCTCCCTAAAAAAATGCTGGGAAGTTCCAGCTCTCCTTCCTCATCCCTTTCTTTTGCCAGGCCTTTGGCATTTCCACCTCTTCTTCGTTATTCCAGTGATTTTCCCTGTCCTCCTTAGGGTGGGAGGGCTGGATTCATGGATTTTAATGGGATAATTGGCAGCTGGGGCTCCTCACCTGATAGGGATCACAAGGAATTCCAGCTGRCTGTTGGTTTCCATAGGGAATTCTGGCATTCCCTTCCTACTTTTCCCAAAGGAGACCAGGACTTGAATTCACCGTCAACAGCATTTTCCAGTGCCTGGTTTATYCTCCCTTGGAAAACAAGGAAAACAGGGAATAACTTCCTTGTTTTCCACTTGGATGGAGGCTGAGTCCAGGGACTTCTGGGTAATTGGATAATTCCAGGGATTAGGATCTTGCAGGAATTATGGGGAGAGAGGGATTGACGGTTTGGCACTTCCGGTTCCGCTTTTCCCAGGGAGGGAATGCAATCCAGAGAGCAGGGAGAGATGGGATTTGGGGAAGGAAGGGTGGGGAGAGGCTGGGATGAGATTCCCAGAGAAGCTGTGGCTGCCCCTGGATCCCTAGAAGTATCCAAGGTAGGTTGGATAGGGTTTGGAGCAGCCTGGGACAGTGGGAGRTGTCCCTGCCCATGGAATGGGATGATCCTGAAATATCCCTCCCATCCCAAACCATTCTGGGATAATCCTTGTTAATGGCTTGGGAATGTGCTGGTGCTCTCCCTTGGTTCAGAGGAATCCCCACATCCCAAATGATCCTGTTCTCCAAAGGCTCCCTTTGACAAGGAATCCTCTACTGGGAACACGGGCACCTCCAGGWGAGGAGCTGGAGGATACACTCCTTGGATCCTTCCTGGAAAAACGGAATTTAATGGGAAAACCARAATTTAACGGGAAGAACAGAATTTAATGGGAAAACCCGAATATAATGGGAAGAACAAAATTTAATAGGAAAAGCATAATTTAATGGGAGAAACATAATTTAATGGGAATTTCATGGGAAAAGTTGGGTCCTGAGCCCTCCTAAAGCTCAGCTCAGCTGGTTTGATCCCAGCGCCGGTGCTTGCTGTTGGGACATGGAATCCAAGAATTCCAGAATGGTTCCGGGTGGGAAGGGACCTTCAGGATCATTCCATGGACAGGGACACTTCCCACTTTCCCAGAGTRCTCCAGCCTGGCTTTGGACTCKTCCAGGGATCCAGGGGCAGCCACAGCTTTCCTGGGAACCTGAGGCTTCATCYCCCTCCCAGCCAGGAATTTTTCCATAATATCCAACCACAGAAAAGCCGTCTGACCGTGGAATTTCTCTTGCAGCCACGGGACTTTTGGGAGGAGTGGTGAATCCTGGATCTCCRTCGGGAAGCAAGGAAGGGATGGACAACCAGCAGGAGCAGCTGCAGAAGCATGAGAAGGTTTCCCAGGAAGAGGCCAAGGAGCTCAGACAGGTAAAAATCAGGATAAATTCATTGCCAATAATTGTTTTACTCCTTAATTTTATTCCTTAAAAATCCATGATTTCATCATCAGAAACACATTATCTTAACCAAATATTGCTGCAAATAAAATTCCATAGGAATGTTGTCACTTTTCATCAATCCTGTGATGAAAACCCCCTCAGAACTTTCTGTCAGTTTTTCATTTTTTTCCTCTCTCTTCCAAATTGTGGGAATAACAGGAATTGTTGGAAGTTACAGAATTCCTTCCCTCAGAGGAAGGGAATTCTGGCATTCCCAGAATTTGGGTGCCTGAGGAAGGGACTTCCCGAGGGGCCATTTATGTTAAAATCCCAGAGTTTGTGGCAGTGTGGATCCCTCAGATGGAATTTGGGAATAGGGGAAGAATCSTGCAGTACCTGGCTGAGGCTTTTCCTGGGATTTTGATGGAATGGCACGAGGAGTGGGAGGGATATGCCAACATTGGCTCCAGGGCCCAGAAAATTCCAGAGGGACTTCTTTAGTGCTTTTTTTCCCATTTACTTGCCTCCATCTCCGGAAATCACAGCTGCGAGCTCGGAGTGAGCTTTGTTTTGGTGAGGAACTGCTCATTCCAAGGGCTAAAATTCTACATTTGCTCATGGAATGGCCTGATTCCATGGCCTGGAGCAAGGAGCTGACACCTGATCTGCCCTGGAATGGGGAAAACCGGGCCTTGGAGTTGTTTTTTTTTTTTTTTAATTTTCCCCGCCAGTGTTTACACTCTGTAGTTGCCTGTGTGCGGTTTCAATAAATTTTCCCAATAAAAAAGTGGGAATTCAGCCTCATAGCTGCTGGAATGGATTTTTTCCTGGTCCAAACCAGTGCTGTGTCAGTGGCACATGACAAAGTCAATAGAATCAGGGATTTCTCTCAATCCAAGCAAAAATAATGGGAGAAATATCCTGCAGTGAATGGGGTGAGGTGATCCCAAATCCCTCCTGTCTCCCTGCCCATTCCAGGTGCAGCAGGAGGGGATGTGGACAGGATTCCTCATATTTCAAGTGTGGGATTATTCAATCCCTAATGAGGATTGGAATTTAGAAAGGGAATGGGATTGGAATATTTGAGGTGTTGTCCCACTCCTTTCCCACCTGTGGGAAATCATGGAAATGACCCTTTTTACTTAAAAATCTGGTGAATTGGGATAGGAAAACTACACCATTCCTGGATAAATGTGCTCTGCCTCAGCGCTCAGGGATAATGGGAGGATCTCAGGGAGGGTTCCAAGGAATTTTGCCCATTTTCTGGTGATTTTCCCTGCATCGAGTCACTTCTGACATCAGATTTTTCCTGGTCTTGGTCTGGAGGAGCCAAGGCCTAGAGCCCCTCTGCTCTGGAGCCAGGCTGGGAGAGCTGGGGGTGCTCACCTGGAGAAGGGAATCCAGGGAGAGCTCAGAGCCCCTTGCAGGGCCTAAAGGGGCTCCAGGAGATCTGGAGAGGGACTGGGGACAAGGGATGGAGGGACAGGACACAGGGAATGGCTTCCCGGTGCCACAGGGCAGGGATGGATGGGATTGGGAAAGAGTTCCTGTCTGGGAGGGTGGGGAGGCCCTGGCACAGGGTGCCCAGAGAAGCTGTGGCTGCCCCTGGATCCCTGGCAGTGTCCAAGGCCAGGCTGGACACTGGGGCTTGGAGCAGCCTGGGACAGTGGGTGGTGTCTGTGCTTGGAACCGGATGATCCTTCCAACCTAAATATTCTGGGATTTAAAGCAAGGAAGAATCCCATTGCTCCCGAACCCTCAGTGCAAGCTCTCCCTGTTTCCTTCTGGCAGATCCTGAAGAAGCTGAAGGGCCTGGCCCTGGAGACAGAAGCGGAGCTGGAAAGGCAGGACGAGGCCCTGGATTCCATCAGCAGCTCCGTGGATCGCGCCACACTCAACATYGACCGGCAGAACCGCCGGATGAGGAAGCTGACGTAACATCAYGGTGGGATCAGGAATGTGGGAAGAGCGGAGGATGGGGGAGCCGGGTTTTTCAGGACTGGTTATTCCAGAGACACTTCAGGAGGTGGTCTGGATGATGTTTGGAAAACAGCGCTGCTGGGGTCGACTTCCTGAGGGGTTGAAGGTGTTTGGATCTTGGATCGTGGTTGGATCTTGGATGACAGTTAAATCTTGGATGATGTTTGGATTTTGTATGTTTGGATGATTGGTTGGGTTTTGGATGATGGTTGGGTCTTTGATGTTTAGATCTTAGATGGTGGTTGGATTTTGAATGATGGTTGGGTCCTGGATCCTGTTTGGATCTTGGATCCTGTTTGGATCTTGGATCGTGATTGGATGGTTGGGTCCTGGATTGTGGCTGGATCTTGGATTATGTTTGGATGTTGGATGGTGGTTGGATCTTGGATGTTCAGATCTTGGATGTTTGGATCTTAGATGATGGTTGGATCTTGGATGATCTTGGTTGGATCTTGGATCATGTTTATATGATGGTTGGGTTCTGGATGTTTTGGTCTTGGACGATGGTTGGATTTGAGATATTTGGATCTTGGGTGATGTTTGAATCTTGGATATTTGGATCTTGGATCGTGATTGGATTTTGGATGATGTTTGAATTTTGAATCATGTTTGGATCTTGGATGATGGTGGATCTTGGATTGTGATTGGACCGTGGATGATGTTTGGATCTCGGATGATGTTTGGAACTCGGATGATGGTTGGATCTTGGACTTTGTTTGGAGGCTGTTTTGGGATGAAAAGGTCCTAATTTCCAATCGGGATGAAACAAAACCCGTGGATTCTACCCCACGAAACCCTGTAAATGTGAAGGGATGTCACAAACCTGACTTTTTTTAATTAATTAATCAATTAATTAATTCATGTGCAATTTTTTTTTTTTTGCTGCCTTTTGGGATTTTGTTCGTGCATCTGAGCCCACTGGAGCTGATTCCAGCCCATGAATACCTTTTCCAGGTCTTTCCCTAAAATCCCTAATAGCTCAGCTGAGGGCCAGGTGTCCAACTGCAATTCCTTGAGCCTTTTTTTTTGGGCATTTCCCCTACTTTTTTGGGAATTTCACTGACGTGGACAATGATGGTGATGAACCCTCGTATTTCCTGAACTTTGCCTGCTCCTGATCCTGCATTTAATGCTCTGGAATTTTCCAGGAGTCGGGAAGACTCRGAGCTGGAATCATTGGATGCTCCTGGCGCATCCCATTTTTCCTGTTTTTTAAATTTCTTTGCACTCCATGGTAGTGAAACATTTCAAGACTTTTTCCAGAGTTTTATTTCTTAAAAAAAGGGATTTTTTTTCAGTTAAAGTCTGAAGTTTACACTTGGCTCCATTGAGAGCAGAGATTTCCCCTCCTAAATTATTGATGCCCTATAGGAAAAATCCCAGATAATCCACAAAACCTCCCATTTGACCRTTGCCTGCATTTTTCCAGCTGGAAGGAACTGCTGCAAAAGGTTTTTTTGTGTTTTTTTTTTTAATTTTAGTTTTTTAATGTTGCTTTCAAAGCCAACACTCTCAGTGCAATATTTATCAATGGCGAAGCCTAAATTCCTGCTTCTGCTGGGAATTTTTTTTTCCAAGGAATCCAGCCTCATTTGGGGAGAAAAAAGCATTGAAAATCGTTTAGAGGGAGTTGTTTGCCAGCTCTTGCTCTCTCCCATGGTTTGTATTCCTAATTTTCGGTAGGATTGGAGAAAAATTGACTCCAAGTTTTTCCTGGCATGCACTTTACTGGATCATACGGTGATAATTCCATATCCATCCGTTAATGACTGGGAATAAAATCCTCTCTGGGCTTCTCCTGGTGTTTCCCCACCCCCAAATCACTGCTGGGAGAGGAAAAGACCCTTTCCACACCTCATTTTTCCATGGATTTCCACGTGGATTTTGCACCAAATCCTCTGTGTTTGTCGAAGCTGCCGCYGCCTGGGATGGGATCTGGGAGCTGGATGAGTCCCAATCCGGATTGCCAGAAGGAAATATCCAGAACTGGGGGATTTTTTGGGATGTTCCTTGTGCCATATTTTTTATTGCTGTGGGGTTTCAGCACCAACTCCGCGTTTTGTGGGCTGTGTTGAGTCCAAAAAACTTGGGAATCTTCTTTGTAAGACCCATCCTAGAGCTGTAGGTTGGCTGAATTCTGTGTGCCRGAAGGATTTTCCACCTGTAATTCCTTGTTATTAAATCTCTTGGAATAGTGATTTTCTCTCTTGTCTTCACTTGGCTGGGAATTTGCGGGAAAATCCGTTCCATCACGTTCCTGTGGGATGGGATTTGGTGCMGCACTTCCTGAGGGGTTGAGATTTAACATGGGCTCATTTTTGATGAAAAATATGGAAAATATTCCCTGGTGGAAGGGAATTGGATGAGCTTTAAGGTCCCTTCCAACCCCAACCATTCCAGGATTCCAAGGCTGAGAGGAGTGGCCGATATTCCAGTTGTGCATCCAGAGGGGCCTCAAAATCCTGGAGAAACGGGCTGGGGGATCCTCGGAAAGTTCAGCAGGAAGAGTCCCTGCCCTGGGAAGGAGCAATCCAAGAACCAGGACATGCTGGGAACACCCAGCTGGAAAACGGGACCTGGGGGTGATGGTGGGCACCAGGTTGGACAGGGAGTTATGGAATGGGTGGGATTGGGAGGGATTTTTAGGATCATTCGGTCCCACCATCCCAGATTGCTCCAGCCTGGCCTTGGRCACTGCCAGGGATTCAGGGGCAGCCTCAGCTTCTCTGGGAATTCCATCCCAGCCCCTCCCCACCCTCCCAGCCAGGGATTCCTTCCCAATATCCCACCTGTCCCTGCCCTTGGGCACCTCAAGGCAATGGGATTTCCCGTGGATGGCCCTGAATTCCCAGGCCACATCCAGAGGCACCAGTAATGCTGGATTTATCCCAAATCCCCTGAATTCATTACAGATTCCCTGTTGAACCCTTCCCCCTCCTGACCTCCCTCATCCTGCAGAAACAGGAGGGGATCCCGAGCTCCCAGCCTGAGCCAGGGGCTGTGCACCAGGGATAATCCCAGACTGGGMATTCCAGAGGAAAAGCAAGGATGGGAAAAAATGCCTGGTGCCCCTAAAAATGGCTTTGACCCTCCTGGGTGTCCAGGGACACAGTGGGATTGCAATTTTAGGATTTATTATTGATGTTCTTGGATTATCCTGAATGCCTGTTCTTCTCCTTCCCATCCTTTTATGTCCCTATAAGAGCTGGAGTTTTGTAGGACAGCGCTGTAGGAACACCCATTTGTTCCTGCTCGGGAAATGAGAGGAAATTCCATCATTCTCCACGCCAATTTGGGAATGTGGGCTGGGCCAGCRTTCCCAGGTGCCTCCTTGGGAGAGGCACAAACTTCATGAAGTTTGCAGGGATTTTAGGGGCAGAAAGCAGATGGGGTTTGACTCGGTGCCTGCAGCAGGTGGAAGGAATTTGCACTCCCGTGGCAATTCCAGCTGCTGCCATTCCAGGATTTTCTCTGCCTGCTCGGAAAGGTGATTCCAGCTGGTGGGTCTGTGTTGTCCCCCAGGGATTGCCATGCTTTTTCCAATAATAGGATTTTAATTTGAGCTTCTCCTATGAAATTATGGATCTCTCCAGGGACATGAGGGAATAATTTCCATCCCCGGATCTCTTCCTGAGCTGCAGCTGGGCAGGATGAGGGAGATGGGATAGGTGAAAAAGCTGCAAAAGGTGAAACCATGGAATTGTTTTGGTTGGAAAAGATCCTTGGGATTCTGGAGTCCAACCGTGAACCCAGCAATGCTGATGGTTTTAAAGGGAATCTTAGGAGCTCAGGAGAGAGGGATAAACCCATGGAATTGTGGGACACRGAAAAGCACAGTTGGAGACTTCCGGCAGCAAACGCAGTGTGGTTCCTCTCCTCGAGGGAATGATGGAATGGGAGAGAAGGAGCTGGACCTCGGCTTCCATTAGCATGTCCAGGGAAGGGAATGGAGCTGGGGAGGGGCTGGAGAATTCCTGAGGGAGCTGGGAATGATCATCCTGGAGCAAAGGAGGCTCTGGGGGACCTTGTGGCTCTGCACAACTCCCTGACAGGAGGAGGCAGCCGGGGGAGAAATGGAGATCTGCTCCCAGAGGAGAGGAAATGGCTCCAAGTTGAGCCAGGCTGGACATCAGCAGGAATTTCCCTATGGAAAGGGTGSTCAGGCCTTGGCAGGGGTTTCCCAGGGGAATTTGGAGTGCCCATCCCTGGAGGTGTCCAAGGAATTCCTGGAGGTGGCACTCAGAGCTCTGGGCTGGAGACAAGGTGGGCATCTGGCAGCTTGGACCTGGTGACCTTGGAGGGCTTTCCAACCTCTGGGATTCTGGGATATGCTCTGAAAATATCTTTTCCTCTTGGTTTTTGGAGGGGTTTTCTTTGGATTTTTTGGTGGTTTTTTTGTTGGTCTTTGTTTAGTTTTGGGGGGCAGGATTTGCTTTTCTTTTTTTTTTTTAGGGGGATTTTTTTTGGCTTTTTAAAAATGTGTTTATTTTTTGTTTCTTTTTCATATAGAAGTCTATAATTTTTTTTCTTTCCATGACCCAGCTCTTTTATGGAATCACGGAATGGGTTGGGATGGACTTAGAGGTCATCCAGATCCAGCCCCCAACAGACAGGGACACCTTCCAYGATCCCAGGTTGCTCCAAGCCATCCCACGTGAGGTGGATTGGAATGAGATGATCCCAAAGATCCCTCCYAACCCAAACCATTCTGGGATTTTGGGATTCTTTGTGCCACAATCCTGGCTCCTTTTGTCAGCTGCAGATCCCAAACTCTGTGAGGCCCCACCCCAGGCTGAGACACCTCCTCTGACAGGGGTAGAAATTCCACAGGGGAATCCTAAAATTCATGTGTGGTTCTGGATTGGAGGGATTCCAAAAGAGAATTCCGTGTCCCAGGTGACAAATGTGGGAATGAGGCCGGAAATGAAGGTTCCAGAGACCTTGAGGTCACTCTGTGGGGGAGCTGCCCTTGGGAGCAACCAGAGGATGGATGGATCATCCCATGAGCATGGAGATTCCTGGATTTGGGACTCTTGCTTCTCCTCCACACACYCACTCCAGAGCTTTCCCAGCTCCCTGGGGTGAGTCAAGCTTGGAAAACGCATCCCAAAAAAGAGGAAATGTCTTGGGAGCCGCTGTTGTATCCCGGAGAGTGGAACTCCCCTATCCCACCCCGATGCCAGCCACCCCTCTCCATATCCTTAGGGCTCCCTGTTTTTCCACACATTTATGGTTTTGCCACTTCCAAGTACAGCAAATTCCCGGAGTGAGAAAATCCTGTTCCGGGCTGGGTTTGGCTCCCCTCGGGCAGTTTGGCCCCGCTGGTAGGAAGAGCTTGGTGCTTTATTGCAGCAAATCCCCGCGGGATGTTTTTTGGGAGAGCCATGAGGGAAAGGAAGGGGGGGGATGAAGGGGGGCCAGGAGAAAAGGCAGAAAGCTCCCAAAACCCATCTTTTCCCCACCTTTCCATTAAAACAAAAAAAAAAAGCTGAGAGAAACTGAGCTCATAAACAGCCCTGAATTCACCCCTGAAGTGAATTTTCACCCTCTTTCTCCTTGGCTTTAAGGATGGGGTTTGTTTGGGTTTTTTTTCCCACCTCTTTTTAAATCCATGAAAATCATGGAAAAAAAATCTGTTCAAACTTACAAGGAAATACCTCGGGCCAAATTAACTTAAAAAAACGATTAAATGAGGGGAAAAAAAAAGGAAGGCTGGTGGAAGTTGTGAATGGATATGGYTGGAGTGGAAGGATGGGGTGGTGGGAATGGGAGCATGGACTGGGAATTCCAACGTTCTCCTGTGCAAGGGGCTGTGCAGGCACCACTTGGCTGTTCAGTGGGGATGACAGAATTCCCGAGGGGGTGGGGTGGGAAGGGATCTTCAAACTCATTCCCATCCCACCCCTCATGGCGGGGACTCCATGGTGCTCCAAGCCCCAATGTCCAACCTGGCCTTGGACACTTCCAGGGATTCAGGGGCAGCCACAGCTTCTCTGGGAATTCCATCCCAGCCCCTCCCCACCCTCCCAGCCACAAATTCCTTCTCAATATCCCATCCATCCCTGCYCTCTGGCAGTGGGAAGCCATTCCCTGTGTCCTGCCCCTCCATCCSTTGTCCCCAGTCCCTCTCCAGCTCTCCTGGAGCCCCTTCAGGCCCTGCAAGGGCCTCTGAGCTCACCCCAAAGCTTCTCCTCTCCAGGTGAACAATCCCAGCTCTCCCAGCCTTTCCTCCCAGCAGAGCTGCTCCATCCCTCTTACCATCCTGGAGCCTCCTCTGGGCTCTCTCCAGCAGCTCCAGCTCCTTCCTGTGCTGGATCCAGGGCTGGAGCAGCTCTGCAGGTGGGGCCTCACCTGAGGGGGCAGAGGGGCCCAATCCTCCCTTTCCTGGATCTCCCAGCCATGTTTCTTTTGGATCATCATTTTTCCTAGAAAACTGTTCCAGGATTGCCTAAAACCCTCCTAAGATCAGGTTTAATAAAAACTTTGTTATTCAATATCCCTCTGTTTTAGGACTTTCTGCCTTTGTGCTCTCAGGGGTTTCTCCATGGTGGAAACCCTTAATTTTCCCACCAGGATCTGGGATCCACATCTCTGTGGGATTTCAGGCAAGAATTCCATCCCTTTAGTGTCAGAAATTATACCAGTTTAAAATTTTTTATATAACTTCAGTCAAACATCCTGTTTGCCTTTGCCCTGGGGGAAGTTTCTTTCCAGGGCATTGCTCCACCATGTGAGGCCTGATGGATGAACATCTCAACAGAGTGGGAGTGGCACAGAAGATAAGGATCATCAGGAGCCATCAAGAATTTATCAACGGGCCATCAACGGAACATCACCCCTGGTGTGGTCAGAACACCTGGGCTGGGAAAAGAAAGATAAGAAGGACCTAATTAACATGAGAGGTGAAGAAATCCAGATCCAATAGGAACCCAAATACTGAGAATTGCGCAAGGCTGGACCAGTGAACACTGAACCGGTAAAGTTCTATGGTTTGGTTTTTTTGGTTGGTTTTTTTTTTGTTTTTTTTTTTTTTTTTTTTTTTTTTTTTTTTTCACTGTACAAAGTTTGGGGAAAATCTTATAAAATTCATGTACCCTAGAATGATTTTCTCTGCACACCCGGGTTATGTGTGGATAAAATGATTTCTGTGGCACATCCTGTCCAGAACAACATCCTGCCCAGTAAATAATGTAATGCT